TGTAATGTGATGTGATGTGATGTGATGTGATGTGATGTGATGTGATGTAATGTAATGTAATGTAATGTAATGTAATGTAATGTAATGTAATGTAATGTAATGTAATGTAATGTAATGTATGTACGTCTACATCCAAGCTAGTCTGTATGAAGAAATAACCCAGTACATACACATGTGTATACACACACATATGAACATGTATGTATGTATGTATGTGCGTATGTATGCAGGTATGCATCATTCTCTGTGTACACATAGATACATACATGCATACATACATACATACATATATATATATATAAACACGTAGATATGTAGATACGACATCACCGCAAGCACGGAATCCTAAACCCCAAGCCGTTTGGCTTAAGGTGCTCACTCTCGTTTCCCGGAAACAAGGAGTGCTCCACTGCCCCGGCAACATTCCTCCAAGGCTTTAGGGTTTGGCTTTTGATGTCGTATCCTTCTGAATGCCTGGACACAAGCCCCAACGCGAGAACTAGAATGGCTCGAAGGTACACATAAGCGGATTTAAACAGACACGTCTCCTGCGGAGATCGGTACGAAAGAAACACGCGCACCCATACGGTCATTAACATCTGTGTGTACATGTCGGTACATACTGTCCACGTCTATACCTATATCTGTATCTAGACTCTAGACTCTAGACATAATGTGTACTATCCGTGTTTGTGCAGATGCAGCACGTACCTGCGAGTGTATATCTGCATCTATAGGTCAGTACGCATCTATATACATATGCATACACATACATACATACATACATACATACATACATACATACATACATACATACATACATGTTTAACACAGAAAACCTGGCAATACACTTAAAAAGCACCTATGCAAAATCACAAGAACTAGAAAAAACAGCTTTCAATCGTACCTGCTTCATGTGTTTTTGAACCTCCTTTTCCCAGATCTGCCCATCCAACGAGGGCTACAACCCAGGCCGTACGCCCACTTTGAACAATAGCGCCCTTCAATACTCCAGAAACTGGCAGCTGCCGGGAAACCTGGAACCCAAAACTACCACCCAAAAAAACCCTATAGACCCTGAAATGAACCCGAACCCCTAGAATCCAAAACCTCAACCGCATAAAGCCAGTAAAGCTGATAAACCCCCTACACCCACTAAACCCTAAACCCAAAACAAAACCTCAAATCCCTGAAACCCAAATCCTGGAACCCCAAACCCAAAAACCCCTAGAGAGCTCCGAGAGACACCTGGAGGTCATCTTCCGGGTCGCCGTCCTCGTCCGGCACCTCTCGGAAGCCCAGCGCCTCAGCCCCGCTCTCTCGAAGCTTATTATTATGGTTATTATTATAGTTATTATAGTTATTATTATAGTTATTATTATAGTTATTATTGGTATAGTTATTATAGTTATTATTATAGGTGTAAAGTGTAAAGAACGGGCTTAGGGCTTAGGGTTTTGGGGTTTACACTCTCGACAAGCCAGGCGTTCATGGGTGCAGAAGTCGGCGTGATACTATGAGTGCCAATGCCTGCCACTACTCCAAGCACAACAGGCTATCAACAAGATTGGCCATGGGATTTAGGGTTTCAGCACTCACAACTGGGACAAGCCTGGCGAGGCTCCAAGTGCGTCGAAAGCACATGGGCTGGGGCTGGCAGATTCCCCGACCCAAACTAACTTCTAAAATTCACAAATTCGTCCCCAACCTCACTCACGCTTCCCTTCGTCTCCACTGCATCAGATCTAAGCCATGAAACTCCACTTCATATTCTCGGGTTTAGGGTTTCGGGCTTCTAGGCTTTACCATCAAGCCTTTTTTGGGTGTGCTTTAGTGCGTATAAGTCTTTCGTAGGGCTGTTAGAAAGATGCTTTCACGGGCTTTCACAGGGCCTCGGGAGGCTTATCCAAGACTAAATGGGGTCTTACAGTGTTTTATTGTGTGTAAGAAGGGGGTTTTGCAAGGGTGGCCCAATAATCGCAGTCAAAGTGTCTAGGGTTTCGGTTATTCAGGGTTTGGCAGGCAGTGTAGCCAATATTCAATCCCTTATGAACGGCAGTATTTTCGGTGGTCTTTCGCTCAAAACCCAGTTCAACCCCGATCTCTTCTGGCAAACCCTAAACGCCTCGTAGAAGGGAACCAGCTCCCTCTTCGAAAAGAGCGTGAGCTCCAGCACGCCTTGCTCCTGGAGGGCTTCAGAAAACTAGGCGTACCTTTCAATGTGTCTGAGAGATTGTAGGGTTTAGGGTTTAGGGGCCCCTGTATCAAGGATCCTGCTACTTAGGGGCCTTTTCTAGCTTACACTGCCTTTGGCGAAACTCTCATCTGAGAGTTTCACATGCAGATTCTGTGGGCTTCGAAGCCTAGGCCTGGCGTTGATCGTCAAAAATATTGGTTCGAGGGTTTAGGGTTTAGGGTTTAGGGTTTAGGGTCTAGGGTTGGGATTTCGGCCCTGAAAGCTTAAAGTTTGGGATTGCGTGCTTTTTTGGGGTGCCGCAGATACGGGCTTCGGATTCCGGGCTTTCGCTTAGACGTGCCGAGCGCAAAGGTGCAGAGTAGCCTCAAGCCATAAAACCCTATAAATAGCCTTAAATCCTAAATTCTCAAGCCGTGAAATGCGTCCCGGCTGGGTTTCAGTACTCGTGGCTCGGGCGGAGGCGTCCGCCTGATTCGCAGATTCTCTTGGCGTTGGCGCCACCTCATCCCAAACCTTTTTTTGAACAAGGTCTCTCTGAAGTGCCTCATCTCAAACCTTAAACCCTAAACCCCTGTTCGCACCTGGTCCATGCATATGCCTAAAGCCTAAACCCCAAACCCCAATAAACCTTGAAGCCAATGAGGGTCGAAAAACATCCAAACTCTGAAGACCTAGCACTTGGAGTTGTTGGGAACTCTTGGGGGTTGTAAGGTCCATGCAAAAGTTTAGCATCTATAGTACCTAGCACGATAGGGTTTATAAGGGCTAAGGGTTTAAGGTTCTTGGGACTAGGGTTTTTTGATGCTAGAGGGTCCTGGCAGCACTGGCAGACGTGCTCAATCAGCCGACGTCCGTACCCTTTCTTCCGGTGCTGTGGCACCACCGCGATGTAGCGTAGCCACATGGAACCTGGGCTGCTCAGCCTGCTAAAGCTTAGGGCTTAGGGTGATTCCTTGGTCTTCTAGATTCAGAAGCTGCTTCCACTGATCAAGAGCAATGTTGCAGAAGCGAGTCCCGAACACAGACTGAAGCCCGACAGCCCAATGCTCCGCAGGTCTCAAACTCTGCCTTACCAACCAAACCTGAACCCTTTTGCGCAGGCCTGATTCGCGCGCGCGCGCGCCCTGCGGGCCAGATGCGCAAGGCTTTCAAAGCTGAACCCCCAACCATAAACCCTTTTGCAACTGGCTTGCAACCCTAAACCCTTTTGCCTAAACCCTAAACCCACTCAACCCTAAACCCTAAACCCTAAACCCTAAACCCTAAAACCCGAAACCGCAGCCCAAGAGCCGTTGAGGACGCCGAAGACCACGAAGCCCAGCAGCTCTCCTCCCTGCACCAAAGCAGAAGCTGCCCAGGGGCCGTCTGCATCCACGAGCTCCAGGGCATCCTCGCAGAGTCGTCTTGGGGCTGAGGGGTTGGGGTTGAGGTTGAGGGCTTTGATGGGTTTTGTTTAGGCTTTTTGAGTTTTGGGGTTTTTGGTCTGGCGTTTTAAGGCCTTGAGGTGACAGCCTCAGGATGCAATGACCCCAGGCGCTCGGTGGTCTGGGGCGTTTTGGTGCGTATACGGCACAAGCATGTACAGCCTAGCGATGTGTTGAGGGTTGATTAGATCACCCGTCTGAGGAACCTCCAAAACCCAAAACCCTGAACCCTAAACCCGCAACAGAACTTGAATCTTTCTCTGACCAGTTCTTACAATCCAGCCACCGAGCCCAGCCTAACCCAGCCCTAGGCGCAGTCCCAGCCCAGCTGGCTGCCGACCTTTCCAAGAAAACTCCCGGCCGCCCCTGCCCCAAGCCCGCAGCCAGCTGAGCCTAGTCCCTCATCCCAACCGATTTTGTTGAGAAAAAATTCCATGCAGCTTCTATACACCCTTTCACCACGGACTTGAGGTGCCGTGCAACCCTCCACACACCCTAAACCTGAACCCTAAACCCCTAATAAGCCCCTAAACCCTAAGCCCCAAAACCCCTAAACCCTACTGACTCTGCGCTCCTCCTGGAACTCAACCTCACCAAGGCGCCGTACTTGGGCGGCCAGGGCTGTTGCCTCGCTGGGAGCCGTTGTTTCGGTCAAGGTCTTGGGTGGGTTTCGGGGCTTAGTCTTAGGGTTTGTTGAGGGTCTTTGGGGGTTTGGAGATTGATGTGTTTCGTCAAGGTCTTTGGAGACTTGGTGTCTAGTTTTCAGGTTCAGGTCTTCAGGCTGTGCCGGTACACCTTAAAACCTTCCGCCTGGGGCTGCGCAGAGGCGGAGCTTGGAGCGCGAGAACCCTCTGAAGGTTCGAGGGCTGTGGTGTGAAAGCCCATCCTTAAAGAGCCTGGGTTTGGGGTTTAGGGTTTAGGGGTTTGGTGTTCAGGGTTTAGGGTTTAGGGGGGTTTAGGCGGTTTAGGGTTTAAGGTGGTCAAGCTCCCGGCTGCGTAGCCCCATTGGGGTTTATCTCATCCACACGGCTTGCTGGCTCAGCGCGTGGTAAACCCCGAACGCACGAAAGGCCCGGGAGATGCCGCGGAAAACATCTGACCAGTGTTGACGCACCAGCTACATCCTGATGGTTCTTAAGCTGCTACAGCCTGCAATTCCGAAACTCCTAAACCCTAAGCTCTACCTTTAAAGGTAACATAGCAAATTCCATGTCCAAGGAAGTGGTTTTCGGTAGTAAAGCTGCCTACGTTTGTACCTGCATTCTGTCGTGCCGCGTTTCTTTCAATACTCCCGCTAAGTCACCGGCTTTCTGCCCTTCCAAAACATGTAGCGGAGGTGTTTATTTATTTCTGAACATGACAAAACCCAAAACCCTAAACCCTAAACCCTAAACGCATGTGCCCAGGGCCTCTAAAGTGCTTTTGAAGCCGAAGGGTCCCTGTAAAAAGGGCCTCATGGACGATGCGCACCAACTGCGGTCGATCCTTGCTGCGCGTGTCCTCCGGAGAAGTTCCGGGTTCGGGGCTTATTGAAGGAGCCTCAATAATTAGAATAGGGTTTGAGGGGGGTATAGTATACCATAATTATGATAAGGAACCAACAGAATAATAGTATAGGTAATGTATTAGGGTATACTACAGTGGCTTTTCTGGTATAAGGTCTGGAAAGGGTTGTGAGATTTCGGGCTTAGTTTACTGCCCAGTGGGTGCTTCCTTGTCAAGGGCGGTAGATTAAGGCCTTACTGCTTCAGTCCCACAGAACCTGAAGCTGAAAACTCAATATAGGGGCCTTCATAATTAGAATAGGGTTTTGGGGCTCCCTGATTATAGTCGTAGCATAATAAACCCCCAGCCCCTATTCTAATTGTCAAGGCCCCTACATTAAATCGATGGTAAGTCTGGCCCGTCTCAGGGCCGTTGAGATGATGCATAGCTTGCAGGGAACTCGTTTTGGAAGGGACTCCTAAGCCACAAACTAAAAACCCTGGCCCGAAACCGGTGGGAGTATAGTCTTGCTTGGAGTGTCATCGTCTTGCCTCCTTGAGGCCGAAGTGTCCTTACCCTTTGAAAGCTTCTAAACGCACAACAAAGCCCTGTGGGATTTTGGGGGCTTGCAAGTAAGCTCATAGTCAAGCTCTACACGATAAAGCTGGCGCCTGTGAAAAGGGTGTTGGGCCGGTCCAGGCTCTTGCCGGAGGGTTTTCAATGGCGAAACCCTAAAACCTAAACCCTACACCCCTAAACCCATGAAACCCTGAACCGCCCGAGGTCTCCGATTTGGGCTTTTAGTCAAAGAGTTTTGGGCATAAGGCTGGGAGTGTAGAAACATTGGAACATGGGCGTCAACTTTCGGATTCACGCTTTAGGCCTCAAGGCTTAGGCTGTGCGGTTTGGCCCGGTGCCTTCGGCTTTGGGCATTAAGGTTGTTAACTAAAAACCGAGTTCATAAAATGACGATAATCATGCTAATCTCATCCATAGCAATCTTCATGTTTCCTGGCCATCATCGAACTAAGCTTACAAGGAATTACGCTGATGCATGCAATGGCGGCTGCCGGTAGGTTGCCAGAGCTACCATCGCGGAGATGGAGGAGGCTTGAGGGCTGGGGGCCCAAGATGTCTTCGGTGGCTACTGGCTATAGGGTTGGGGGTAAGTGACATGTAGGCATGATAGCACGGGCCCCTCCAAAACGCATCAAACCTGAGTCTCGAAAGTCGTAACTCCCGGAAAGGCTCAAAACCGAATAACGCATAATAAACTGCAGATGGAATCCGCATGTGGTCCTCCAACACCGGCACCTCCCCGAACTGGAGCGAGGTCTCGGGTTCTGCTGTACGATGGGAGTCTCGCAGTTCGCGCTGCGCCCATCGAGGAAGAGAATCCACCCCTTGCCTGGCCTGGGCATTGCGGGGCACCGAACCCACACCACTGCATTTGGATGACGACGAATAGCAGCAGCGTAGTAGCAGTGGCAGCAGTCGTCGTAACAGCGGCAGCAGTAGCAGAACTCTCCAAAGCCCACACCCCACACCCTGCAGAAGCCCTTCCGAGCCTCTTCCCGGAGTGCCGGTGGCCAGGAAGATAGCAGCTCTTCCGGCAAATCAGACATGGCCCATGGCTCCAGAAAACCCTTTTTCCAGAGTCGGGTTCAGGGTCTAGGTACTCCAGGTTTAGCACCATCTGCAGAATCCAGGGCCAGGGGCTTTCAGTCTCTTGATAGGAGTTCGAAAAAAGCCGTCGTAGGGTTGCGCAGTTTAGGGTAAAGGGCTTGGCTGAGGGGTGTAGGTGTAAGAATGCAGAGACCCCTGGTAGCGGGGGGGAGGGCTTTCTGGTGTTGGGTGCTTTTGGGCTTGGGGATCAGGTCTTGGTGGGCTTGCTATAGTACAGTAGTATATAATATACTATAGTACAATACAACAGAAAATATAGCATGATAAAATGCATCTTAATTTATACTGCGATACAGTAGAATACACTTTAGCGTCAAAGGCTCAACGGCCGGGTCGCCCGAACGCCGACCAACCGCAGGACTGTCAAGTTGGCTGCCGGCGTCCAGTCGATCATAAGTGCTCCAGGTTCAGGGCTTAGGGTTTATGGGCTTAACAATAATAATAATAGTAATAATAATAGTACTAACAATAATCATAATAATAATAAGATATCATAAGTGTTCTAGACCCTGGTCTGACCAAGGATATATATATATATATAACTCGACCTGAATCTTGAATATATCCACAACCATGTGGAAAACATCGGGGAGACGAAGACACAAGAAACTGACAAGCAACCCAGGCAACCCCAAATCCGAAACCTGTCGCGCGCTAGCGCTGGCTTTCAATCCTAAGTTGAGGAAGCCGAGGAGCCGAGATACAACGCAGCAGCCCACAGTATTGTGGTTACATGGCTTACAGTGTCGGGCTTTTGGCTTCGAAGATGGCAGCGATGCTCTGGTTTGAAGTGATGGCCGGCTCCCCAGAAAGACGAATAGTAAGTAAGACCCGCCTTTAAGAATGAAAGCTTCAAGAGGTCGTATACCATGTAAGAAATGAGGATTTGCAGTAGTGACCGGGGCGGCTGCGGGCTCATTCTGCAGGCCATCTCGAGGAGAAACGTCCGTGACCTCACGGAGTTCACTGGCTTTCTGCTTGATTGAACCTATCTCCGGGTGTCGGTTTCTGGCTTCAGCGCTTGCTTGAATTCAAGGATCCGGGGACGTCGCGGGTAGGCTGTATACTTTTACCGACTAGAACCTATCTCTTGACAGGATCCTAATATGAACCCTTATTTAGACTCTAACAAAGGGGCCTGAATAATTAGAATAGGGTTTTTGGGGCCCCTTATACTAGAATTAGGCCCTTATATTGTAGGGACCCTGCCAAAACCAGGCTTACAGGTAGTGTTTTGCACTGCGATTTTACTGGCTTTAAGTCAGCACCTGACGATGACCCACATCTCACAGGGGCAAATGCATCAATACATGTTTGGACCTCTACGATTTGAGGGTATGGGTCTGGGGTCTAGCGTTTAAAGGTTTGGTTGAAGAGTCTAGTGAGGCGAGGCGTGCAGGTGCATTTAAATCATCGCGGGGCCCACTGAACCTGAAACCCTAGCCCTAGACCTCACACCTCAACTCGGCGCAGTCCACCTGCACACGGCCGGGCACACGGTCCCAGCTGCCGAAGCATCGCTGCTGGGACCGGCTCAGGGCGAGTGCAGGGACTCGCCGCATGGCTCAGACCAAGGGTCTAGTCTAGGGGTTGTTGATCGGCTTTTGTATAGCTTTGTGGGCTTGTTTATAGGTTCTTTATAGTTGGGTGGGCCTGTTTATAGTGGTTTTGTTGGCTTGCTTATCGGCTTTCATCTCCCTCAGGCTGCTATTTTAGGGAGTTGTGACCCGGGCCTGAAGGACTTCGGGTCATATGATGGTATCGTCCTGTAGCGACCAGACGGACATACTAGCACTTTATTCGACAGTCGTATGTGCAGGGCTTGTGTTGGGCTTCGGCCTGGGGTTGTGAGTGCTTCGAAGACATGCAGCTACCGTCAGATCAACCAGAGCCCGGAAGACATTGTTTTATTGAGCTCCACTGTACAACAAGGATCGCAAGCGCACCCCTAAGACGAACCCGCATAAGTTGACGAGAGATGGCACAGGCACAATCAAGCTGACCTGAGTCTACCGGAAGGCACCAGAAATGTCAAGGAGCTCAACTTCGCACTATGTCACTGTGTTGTCTGGCTAAGTTTGGCTCAGTGCCTGGGAAGGGGGCCGGCAGGCAGACGAGCAAACACTGTAGAAGCAAGTCTTCCTGCTGCGACTACCAATAACTTTCTCCGACCACTCCTGCTCCGAGCTCCTAGTTAGTCTCCAACTGCTCTTGTGCCGCTTCCCGGTTACTACCACCACCATCGGCATCACCCCTCTTAATGTACCCTCTCTCCTTCTGCGGCCAGAACCTTAAACCCTAATCCCTAGCTTTGTGGGCTTCTGGCGGTGTGAGCCTTCCTTCTGACCCTGGGCTAACGACGTCGAGCTTGGGGGTCAACCTCTCCGAAAAAGTTGCAGAGCTCGGGGGGCCTACGCGAGCGTTTCGAAACGCGCCATGTTGAGGCTTTGAAGGGATATAAGACCCAAGGCCCACGACCGCCGATGTTCTCGAGGCTATAGTGAACCCGAGCGCACGCATTGAAGAATCCGGACTTCGGGGTTTAGGGTTCAAGCGCAGGGTCTACGCGACGAACGATCGAGCAGAAAGCATCTCTACTCGCCTGCAGGCCAAAAGCCGCACACACACAAGTGAAAGCCCACTTTCTTCTAGGGCCTCCTTCACCTGAGCTAGACCCTAAACCCCAAACCCCGCTAGATTGCTCCACCCCAACTCCCCAATCCAGTGTTCAACCCTCGAATAGTTGGTACATACATGGGGCTGACTCACTACCAAGGGTATTCCCTAGCATTCCCTAAGATGATGAGACTATGACGTGCAACCCAAGACTCCCAAAACCCTAGTCTAACCATTGAGGCCCTCATGCTACACCCATATAGCAACTCTTGTAAAACCCTTCAAGAACCTTTTTACAGAAGGGACTCGACTGCTGCCCTTACTTCAAGAACCTTACAAACGGAAACCTGCTCCATACAATACAAAGCCTTGCTGGTGTCGCGGTCCCAAGACCAACCGTTCGAGTCCCATCGCCTTTCGCACTTCTTTGCTGGAGCTCCAGGGGCTTGTGTGTTTTTCCCTTTGCGTTTAGGGTTTAGGGATAGAGTTCAGGGTTTAGGGGTTAGGGTTTAGGGCTTAGGGCTGAGGGTTTCGGGTTGAGGGTTTAGGTTTCGGAATTAGGGTTTTTCGACTCGCGCACACGCTCGAGGCAAGCACGGATTCCAGCAAGAAGTCTCTTCACACAAGAACTAGGTAAAAAGAACTAGGCTTCGGGCTTGGGGAAGTTTGTAGGGTTCGGGGATTAGGGAAAGTAAATGGGTTTTTGTCCCTCACCTACCTAGCAAAGACAAACCCGCAATAAGGTTTGGGGTTTAGGCAAAGTTGAGTTTGAGTTTAGGGTTTGGGGAAGATTTGGGGTACATGATTGAGGGACGCTCAAAGGTTGAATCCCCTATCCATGAGCTACCTTCCAAGAGTCACGAATGACGGTAACCATGGTAATGGTAATGATAGGAAAGAGTGGTGATAAGACAACGGTCATGGCCATAGATGTTACTCGTGACATTGGACTTGGTAATCATGCTCGTACTGACAAACCATAAGCAAGCAGACGGAGATCTCCATGCCTATAGGTAAACTAGCCTGAACTGCGAGAGGAGACGGAAGCCAAGCATTCTGAGGCGCTTTATTCGGATCTGCGAAAAGCTGCATGCCGGACTGTCTCTGACGCGGGGTGATGCGGCAAGCCCTAAGCCCCAAGCTTTCCAAAACCCCAAGCCCAAGGCCCTAAGCCCCGACCGAGCCCTAAAACCTATAGGCCCTGAACCCCGGAATCGCTGTCAAGCTGGGCTGGCAGGCCAGGACGTTGACCACGAGTCACCCCAGCCGGTTCTTGAGCCTGAAGGGAAAGGGGTTGATTTTGAGCTTAGAACCACCTAAGGCTTTGTATGAGAAGTTTGTACTGCACAAATCCACACCAAGGCCCCCTGCTGTCCCAGCTGCGCGGAGCCCACCAGTCTCCCTGGGCCTGGACTTAAGAGGATTTTTCGGCTTCGTTCGCGGTTTTTAATTTGTTAAGCGAGTTTTGTGGGGTTTCGGGCTTATATAAAAGCATTTCACTGGGCTTTGTATCTAGGGTTTAAACTTTCGCATCTCGGGCAATGCAGGCGAGGTTGGTCCATGGTTCGCAGGGGAGGCTCGCGTGGCCTCAAGTCGGCATTCCAAAAGACAACATCCCACCTCCCGAAGTCACAACGATGCCACCAGCCATTAGGGTCATATCCAAGTCAGGAGCGGGGATCTGAAGCTCATCTCCAGCCCTGTGCTAGGAGAACCCGCAAGACGCTGTAGCTGTGTTCCTGCATATCCGCGGCAGTCCTAGCAACGAGGGAACGTCATAGATTGACGTACTGCTTTTCCCAGGTGCGGATCTGCCTCACCGTGTTCAAAATCAGTGCTGACGCAGTGTGAACGTAGCGCGAAACCGCACAAATCAGCAACAACTTACAAACTTGATTCAAGATACACAACACATGGCAACGGCCCCTCAGTGAAACTCACGGCTTTCCTTCCCATTGGAAGTGAAGATGCAGTAAAATATACATTAGGTTATAGGCTATGCTTCGTGGCTCGATGGTCCCTCCTTCCCCGAGTGCATCAGGATACGAGTGGAAGTCATAACTCAAAGAGACAGTTGAGCACATCATAATTTGGGAAGGGAGGAACCAGGCCTCGACTCTTTAGCCCTCTGCATCCAACAAAGGCAGGGTAAGTCCTAAAGCTCATACGTAAACATAGGGATACCTGAACCCATCACACACACACACACACTCTTGGATGGAGGGCTTGTGTGGTCTCTTCCGTACCCACGTATGGCTGTCGAGAACTCTGCATGCAGGCTTATGCAGTGAATTCCTCCGTCAATGTGAGTTTTGCATGCAGGAGGCCACCATGCAAACGCAGACAAGGAGCATTCCATCCCAGATTCATGTGTAGGGAATCAGGCAGTCGCAGGCGACACCCCCAAAACTGTGTCAGCCATCGTGACACAGGTCCATGCTGAGTCATGCCGCAAACTCCTGGTGTGCTTCAGACGCGCTTGCAGGGAGTCGGCGTTTAGGCACATGCAGCGAGTGTCTCTTCCGACTCCGTGTCACCAATTCAGTTTCTGTCATGCAGACTCATGCAAAAGGCATCCCATTCAGCCCCATGCCATGAATTCTCTGAAGCATGCCCGATCGAGTTTTATTAAAGGCTGGCTAGCCGCGGCGGCAAAGTTCGAAGTCAGACCTCGGACTTGGAAGAGCCCTGGGGTGCTACCTTGGACCGGCATGTAGGGAAAGCGTTGGGGGTGCAGGGGTGCATAATGGAGATGTTCGTCGGAGCGACCGGCACCAGAACGGCTGGAGGCAGCAAGGAGGCCTGCAAGTGCTGAATGTGCAAGAGCACCTGCTCCAGCCTTTGCGAGGAACCGCACGATGGCTGGCGGCACTCCTCGTACTTGCTCAGGGCCCGCCCTGTCGCCAGCGGGCTCGGCTCGCAAAGCCTCCTTGCCGCAGCGCCGCGCGGCTGCCTCAAGCCACGACGTCGTGGGTGGCAGCACCTGCGCCATGGCACGCGGACTGACCGGCAGCAAGATTGGCGTCTGCCGACATGCACGGGTGGCCTCCACGTGGAGATCGCTGCCGAGAATATACCTGGGCCCACGCACCTGTGTCTGACTGCTGAAGGGAGCTGCCTGGCTTCCATGTACCCAGACTTCGCGAGCCAGCAGCCTGGACCCGCCTTGTTGGAGGAGTACCTCGCAATGGGCGGCTGAGACCGAGCTTCAGCCGCCCGGTCGACTTCGGGCCTTGTGGCATGCTGAAGCTTGGGTACGAAAGAATTCGAGCGCCGCCGAGATCGCAGTATCATTGCGGATCGCGGATCATTTACAAACCGTCTTCAAAACAGTTGTGCCTATAAGTACTACCAGCTTTTGGCTTCTGTGATCTTCTGTGGCAGCAACTGTTGCTCACAAGCCCATGAGAGCTTGAGCCGTATTTAGGGCTTAGCGGGGTTTCACTGAATTTTGTAGGGTTTTAGGGTAGGGCAAGGTTGTCAGGGAGTCTGACTTCAATTTTCCTTGCTAAGTTTATGGCAGAATATACTCGCAAGCTCTTCTCTAATCATTAAGGCCCAGTATAGCAGACTGAGCGAGCCCTTCGCTAGCTACCCGGGGCCTTTTGCTGTCGCCATTCCGACCCGCGGAGCCTTTGCAACACCCTAATCTCAGGAGCATCAGCCCCCGTAGAGTTTTAAGTTTAGGGCTTGGGGTTTAGGGTGCTCAGGGTATCCAAAGTCGCTCCAGGGGTGGCTCTGTAGTTGAAGGAAAATCAAACACGAAAGCCGCTTCCGAAATCTCCGAAAACCACCACCCTGCCTTCCAAGAAAGCTTTGGCAACAGAATAAGCAGCAACATCCCAAAAGTAATAATTGGAGGATCTTGGGACTTAGCAAGTAGGGTTATAAGTATAGTTACGTTGTTTATAACCTCAGTTACTTAGTCCCATGATCCTCTAAGTAC